ATATATATATATATATATATATATATATATATATATATATATATATATATATATATATATATTATAAATATATATTTAGATGAATTATAAATATGTTTGAGGCCAAAACGAACTATAAAATGTAGTGAGATTATAGTTATTCCAACTATTTTTTACTCTCAGTGTAGAATTGAATAAAGTTCCTCTGAGATATTGAGTGAGAATATCACTGTAATAAAAGGGACATTTATGTCAAATAATGAGATAACGATAACGCGAAATAATCTTTATTTGTTGTATTTTTGGAGGCAGAATGGACTCTTATCGCGCGATACAGACATGAAGCAATGGAAAATCGCAAGTAGGACTTATATCATGAAACAGATGTCGTTATAATTTATGCTCAACTTACCCGCGATGATATATTATACTGTGACGTAATATGTTATCGCATATAGAATCGTGCTCACATTTTGCTGTCTACGCATCAGTCTTCCAGTTGACTTGGTAAACAGAAAAATTCCGCAACACGTCACACGTAGAAGAATGAAAATCATCGGCACATGCTTGTGTTTACTCAAAAAGATATAACCTCATTCTTAGCAGAATTATCTTATATATAGTCTCAAGAGGATTCTGCTTGGAAAGAAAAATATTCCAAATATAATATCGTTTCTCTTCATTACACTCAGAAAAGAATACCTAAAAATTGATTTGTGGGATATAAAGTTTACTTATAGAAATAAACTTTATGCCTCAGAAATAAATTTTTACGTATTTTTTTCTCAGTGTAGAAAAGAATACTTTCGGTAAAAGTTTTCGTTTAGAATATGGAATCATAAGAAATTGCACTTTTCGCAACTACGAATTTTAGAATAAGAATCACTATAGGATTTTGTATAGAACTTTGTAATCGAGGAATGAACCGACATTTTGCAGTAATTAGTTATCCTTTCATTTCATGTGTGTTATTTATATTTTAGGAAATGTATTTTTACAAGTTTGTGGTCGATATTTTAACTACCTCACGTAAAGTACAAAATATCTATTATTTTACACTGAACATTCAGTGGTCGATTTTTTGCCAAATAATAATCGTAATAATAATAAATATTATAAAGTTTCTTATATTTCACACATTTGTCATGTATCTAGGCATATTATGTAAACTTGTAATATACATCAGAGTCACCTTTAAAAAAGGTTTTACTCTATAAAGGATTAAAACATTTGCTATGTTTCTAACGAAATTTACTGTTCCTTAGCAAGATAGATTTTACTGGCAATCTACTCCTGGACTACTAAAATGTAATAAAATTAAAAAGAATTATGTACCAAAGAAAATTATAATATTCTTTCCGTGTATATAGATTTCTTTTTAATATTAGAATATTTTACTTTTACTTTTATTTAAAAAAAATTTTCTTACAGCTATATGAGAAGGGAAAGAGGGATTTTACTAAAGACGAGATTTTGGGTATTATATTGTGATGACATCGTGAATAATATCATGTTGCGAATTAAAATGTCGCTCCAATGTTTGCAATTAAGTTCTTGTTGAGGAGGAGGCAGACTCTATTTTTATTTGTAGAAAAATTTAGATCGTCCACAATTCCACAAATTTGCTAAATTGGATGACCTGTGATAGGTGCACGTTTTACGATATACATACCAAGATGGAAAATTTTGTCATCGCTCGGATGCGATCTCTCTTCTCTGGTCGTTCCGAGAAAAATGATCCCCTCGCGATTCGACTGTTGCAAAATGTTCTGCGGTCCATATTCGTCAGTCAAAAACGTACATTTCGACAGAACCGTCCCCGCGGCACACGCGATGAAAGTAATCCAACGTTTATAAACGAATCAAGCGCGAGCACGCTAATCACCGGCGATGTCTATTTACGTTTCCCGATTGACGGGAATGTTGTAAACGACAATGTTGTTAACGTATCGAAAACGTTTAACTCTCAATGGAAACAACGAATGAGCCATAAAAACTGGTATTGACATAAATCGACAGCGGATTACGAAACTTGCGGCAATTCGCGACTCCGTTGCAGCCGACGACGTCGAATGCAGATTCCTAGCACGGGAATAACACGACTGGTGGCTAAAAGGGAAGCCGGAACATTAATTATTATTTTCGTGCGAGGCGCGGGGAAGGAGGCTTTTGTCCCAGCTTTCGCGAAAAGAGAGCTCGTGCGTCAAACTCTTTATTGTACGGTTCAGATGGTATTTGTATCATAATTGACTGTGCTAATTAACGAAACGTCATTCTTTCGTTTCTGTTCTCTTTGAGAGACTCGATTTTGCACAAAGCTGTAATTACATGAGCAATAACGAACTCTGTAAACACTGAAAATTAAAATTTTTTATCGCTTTTGCTGTTGTAAAATAGAAAATATAGTAACCCATTCGTGGAACTATTCTGAATCTTCAAATCGACGGCAAAAACCTGAATGACGTTTCCGTAATGAGTCTGTCATATTTTGCCATATTTTACTCCGATACATGTAAGTTTCATGACATCAATAAATTATCGCGCAGCTTTTTTTCTAATGCATCGAGGAAATCTCGATCTATATGTTTATAGCTATGTAACTGCTGCATCACGGCGATCGAAGCTGTCGACAAATCGGTTATGAAATGCTCGAATTTGGTCAGGAATATTATAAATGTGACGTATAAAATGTCGAAGGTTTAGCACATTCAGTTTCAAGATCTATCGATAATTCTTATCCGTTGATGATGAAACAAACGCATCGCGTGATAAAAGTGGACGGATGTTTTTCCAAGAAGAAGCCTACGCGTTTAAACGTCCCTTGCAATTTAATAAACAAAATAATTGGGTTATCAAAAGTTCAGTGAAGATTGTTCGATGATGTTAAACTATTCTTGAACATTGACATCGTAAATGTAAGCGATATCAAACATTATCGCGCCGTTCCTTTGGATTTGAGATTTGGAATGTTTGCAGATGTGCAAAAAGTGCGCTTAGCTATAATACGATCGCGACGACTAATTGCTTATGCTCATATTATGGTCACACTGAGAGAAGAAATACCTAAAAAGTAAAAATATTTATTTACCTTAAATAATTACTTTTTAATTTATAATAAATATTTATACCAAAAATAAATATTTTTGGTGAATATCAATAATTTATTCACTTACATCTAAATTCTTTTGTTGAA